TTGACAAATTGTACACTAATGACCAAAGACCAGAATAGTTGTGGAATGACATAAATCAAGGACATAATACATGGGGGGGGAGGTCATTCAAGAAAAAGGTCATTCAAAAAGATAGAGAAGACCAAAGTGGATGGACAAGAGACCCTGGAACTTGCTGTAGAACATAACATGGCTATAGTGAAAGGAGGAAGCGGGGAAGGAATGGGACGGGAGATTTCAAAGGGTGGCTCCAGGACACAAAGCAAAGCACCACAATGAAATGGGCAAAGACCAGAGTTCAAAACCCGAAAAGGAAGAACGTGCTTGGCATTTCTCAAGCTGAAAGAACTGAAGGAAAAATTCGTCTCGAATTGTAGTATCAAAGGATTCAATGGGGATAATATTGACTCGTGTGGGAAGCATCAAAAGAAGATAAATGGAATACACAGAACCAAGAAGAATTGGTCCGTGTTCAGCCACTAAAACAAAGAAATGAATGAATGAAAACACATTCCTTGCCATTGAGTTAATTCCGACTCGAAGCCATCTGAGAGTTTCAGTCTTTTCGGGAGCAGACAGCCTCTCTCTCCTGTAGAGTGGCTGGTGGTTTCAAACTGCTGGCCTTGTGGTTAGCAGGTCAGTATGTAGCCTGTTAGACCACCAGAAGTCCTTAGGCATTTTAAGAAGTAGCATGTGATCAAAAACTGATGGTACTGAGGAGGAAATCCAAGCCACACTGAAGGCATTAGGAAAAAAACAAGGCTCCAAGAATTGTTAGTGTATTTGAAATCTTCCCCCAAATCATAATTCAAAAACATCCATCAATTCTTCTCTGGTCTTTCTTATTAATCGTCCAACTTTTGCAAGCATATACTCCATTGAAAATACCACGACTTGGGCCAAATGCACCTTAGTCTTCAAAGTGACATCTTTGTTTTTTAGCATTTTAAAGATCTCTGTTACCATGGTGTTGAGTGTGGATCAGAGTATAATTAAATCCTTGACAATCTCATTCTTTTCTCTGTTAATCATGATAGTGCCTATTGGTCCAAGTATGATCATTTGCTACTCCTAGGTAGTCTTCAGTTTTCATCAATAAGCGCTTCAAGTTCTCTTCACTTTCAGCAAGCAAAGTCGCGAGCGCCACCTGCACAGCACAGGTTGTTCATGAGTTTTCCTCAGCTCCTGATGCTGCAGGCTTCTTCCTAGAGGCCAGTGTCGCAGACTATTTGTTTAGCATACGGGTGAAATGGGTGTAGTCAAAAGACACCAACCACCCTGACACACACCTTTCCTGATGTTAAACCACACAGGCCCCCCTTTTCTGTTGGGATGGCTGTCCTTTGGTCTATGGACAGCTTTCTTGTGAGTATAAAGAATGAAGTGTTCCGAAACGCCCATTCTTTACAGTATTGTCCCTAATTTGTTGGGATTCACAGAGTCAAATGCCTTTGCATAGTCAATGAAACACAGGTAAGCATCGTTCTGATAATTTATGTGTTCAACTAAGGTCCTTCTGACAGCAACAATGATATCCCCAGTTCCATGTCCTGTTCTGAATCCAGCTTGAATTTGATACAGCTCCTGGTTGGTGTGCTGCTGAAGACATTTTTGAATTATCTCAGTAAATTCCTGCTAATGACATTGTTTGATACATTTTGATATTCTGTTTCATTAGCTTTCTTTGCAATGGGCACTAATACAGATTTCTTTCCATGGATTGGCTGGGCAGGGCGCTGTCTTCCAAATTTCTTGTCAGAGACCAGCGAACACCTTCAGTATTGCAACCACTTGCTGGGACAGAGACCAGCGAACACCTTCAGTATTGCAA